AGCACAGACTGTCACTCAGTTTCTCAGGCATCTTCAGCCAGTCTGTGTCCTTGCTGCTGCTCAGAACACAGTCCTGTCCTCCCCTGCACCTCCACTTCCATATTCAGAGCTTTGCTTCTTGCTGGTGCTGTCATTCATGTGGGTCTGAAGTCAGGCAGGGAACTGAAAACTCGTTTCTCTTCTGTAGGATTAGTCAGTGTTCAACCAGGTGATGTTGTTGATGGACCTTAGGGCGCTGTTACCAAGGGCCAAGGAGAGAAATGTGCAGAAGGATCTGAACTGGCCACTCAGCTGTGCAAGTGTAGGTGGTTTAAAGCATGTGTGGAAATGCCCTGTTAGTCTGCACATGTGGACTGAAAGCCAAGATGGTAATTAGTGGGGGAGAATAATTAGTAAAACATACTTTTTTTTAATAGTTCAAATAAATCTCTTGAAGTATTAAGGCTATTATAAATGCAGTATTTTGAAATGAGATTTATTATTATTATTATTATTATTATTATTATTATTATTATTATTATTATTATTATTATTATTATTATTATTATTATTATTATTATTATTATTATTATTATTATTATTATTATTATTATTATTATTATTATTATTATTTTATTTTGCCTTCTGCTTCCACTCACCTTACTTTCCACCTTGCTGCTGGACGTTTCTTTTTGTCACCTATGAAAACTGCCTTCCAGTTGCAAACATGCAGTGTGAAGTACAGAACTGTTCTGCCAGTGTTGCCCGTCTAGTATTGCCACCAGATTAATGCTACAGATGAATCTGTACAGATTAATGAATCAGGGTACAATAGTATCTTCTTTATTCAGGATGAAATATTTAGCATCTGTCTTTCATATCTGGAGCATTCTGCATTGCAGATGTGAACTGGACTAACAGCTGGAGGCCTGTTCTTGTTTGACAATGCTTTTATTAAAAAAAAAAATAATAAAAATATATCTATTTCAGGAAATGTTGCTTTTGCTCATGTAGAGTTGAAATATTTTTACTGTTATATTTAAGTTGCATCGTAGAAGGGGGACTGTTGTGGAGGAGACCTCTGCTACAGTGATAGACAAACTCGTCTTTTCACATGTAGAATATTTTGATTTGTAGGAACAGTAAAATTCTGCTGTTTGGAAAGGCTGGTGATAAGGTTGGTTATGGGGTTAGACTTTTGGTGACTGTTACATTAATGCAGAATTCCAATGATGTAGATAGATTTTTGGCTATAATAGTGGAAACCACACAAATTGTTGATTAAAGTTAATATTTATTTTCTTTGAAGATAGGCTTTGAAGACAAGACTGCCTAAACAAATGCTCACATTGGAGAATTTTTACCAAATGGATAGAGTAATTTCTGTTTTGGAGTATTTAAGAAAATCTGAAAGCTTAAAACAAGAGATGGACATATTCTGGCACACGTTCTAGAAAGAAAAAGTGCAGTTAGACACTCTTGAAATAATGCACAGATAGTTTCAAGATAACAATAATTTGTTTACATCTTTAGAAGTTCTATTAGTGCTATTCACTTACTTTCCTTATTTGATTATATAAATTTCAAACTTAATAATCACGCGTTGCCAGTTGATAATATATATTAATAGAAGAGAATAAGTTACACTAAAACTTTTTTCTAAGAATGTTTTCTTAACTCTGCAATCACAGAAATACCATGTGAATTTTAATTCTATGAGATCTACCTCATAGAACAACCAGTACATGTTCCTAAACTACAGAGGCTGGAACTCAGACAAGAAACCTAATTTCACATAGAATCATAGAATGGTTTAGGTTGGAAGGGACCTTGCAGATCATCTAGTTCAACCCCCCTGCATGGGCAGGGTTGCCTCCAACTAGACCAGGTTGCTCCAAGCCCCATCCAACCTGCCCTTCAACACTTCCAGGGATGGAGCAGCTACAGCTTCTCTGGGCAACCTGGGCCAGTGTCTCACCACCCTCACAGTGAAGAATTTCTTCATAATGTCTAACCTAAATCTTCCCTCTTCCAATTTCAATCCATTACCCCTTGTCTTCTCACTACAAGTCCTTTTCAAAAGTCCCTCCCCAGCTTTCCTGTAGCTCCTTCAGGCAGTGGAAGGTGCTCTAAGGTCTCTTTTGAGTCTTCTCTTCTCCAGGCTGAACAGCCCCAACTGTCTCAGCCTGTCTTCATAGCAGAGCTGCTCCAGCCCTCTGAGCACCTTTGTGGCCTCCTCTGGACTTGCTCCAAGAACTCCATGTCCTTCCTTTGCTGAGGATTCCAGATCTGTACAAAGTACTCCAGATGGGGTCTCACAAGTGCAGAGTAGAGGGGCAGAACCACCTCCCTCTCCCTGGCCCTGCTGACCACACTTCTGTAGATGCAGCCTAAGACATGATTGGCTTTCTGGGCTGCAAGTGAACATTTTGAAGAAGGAATGGATTATTTCTTGAAGTATGTTGCTGAGATTTTTTTAAAAATTACAATAAATTGAAAACTGCAGGGAAGAGGAAGAAAAATTAAGCTGCTTAAGATCATAGTGGGTATCAGTCTAGTCTAGAAGGCAACAGAAAAGGAGGTCTTTCTTTTCTGTGGCTGCTGTCTTCTCGTATCTCTCATGGAACACTTGTATCTTTATATGAAAAATGTTGTGGGATGCCTTTATCCTCTGCTCACGAGTTGTCTTCCTCACAAGTACTGCACAACCCTAAAGCAGGTGCAAGCTTTGAAGGAATTTGAGTTCAATGAAGTACTTAAAGCTGATTTTTTGGGGAATATTTGGTTAAACACTTGTAAGACACAGTTAGCATCCTTTCCTTTACCCATGGCAGCTGTCCCCATTCACCTCTTCAGTCTAGGAAGATTCTTGTAGAAAAGCCAGAAAGATATTCCATCTTTGTGTACACTTGCACTTGGGCAGATGACACCTTTTTTACTCTTGTCATTTAAAAAGTCTATTGTGATAGCAGCTGGAGCAATGTTGAGCAAAATGCATCAATTTGACTTTTAAAATCTACTAATTTGTTTTTCTGGGGTAGATTTTACTGCCAATTAAAAACTTCCTTCTAGGTTTTAATGAGGCTTCTTCTTGTATGTATCTTTTTTATAGTTGAAAGCTTTGTTCCTCCTTTGATACTGAATTTTGAAGGATATTTTTTTCTATTTCTTAGTAAAGGTTGAAACTGAGGCATCTTCTGATTGAAACAACTGATCATCCAGGTTCTCTTTTGTGTCACCTGTACAATTGCCCTCCACTGAAATGAGTTTGCTTTGATAGGCTTTGGACCATGTTAGAACTTTGAATATATTTTTATATAATGAGAGGTGTGTGTTTGAGGAGTCATGTTAATGACTAGTGAGGGAAAGCATGCTTGTTAAAAGGGAAGAAACTATATTTGACAGATTTATAAGTATCATGAATTATTGACTAGAATAATTATATACTTAAAACTCACCTTTTGAATACAGAAGCCAACAGGAGTAGCAACTGTCTTTACATAAAAAAGAAACAGGTTCTGAAAGAATTTAAGATTATTGGAAAAATGAAGATAGCTCCCACATTAACTGTCTGTATAGCATCTAGAAACTATCTCATAGTTTTCTTTACTCACATGTATGGGTGTTTTCAGCACTGTAAAACATGAAGCCTGATGATTTTTTGCAGAAGAGTGGAAACTGAGTAGCAGCAATTTTAGCACACATGAGATAGTATCAGATAATTCTGCCACGAAAAATTTGCAAAGGAGAGCAGACTGGGGGATGTTTTTATATATGGTTTATAAATACATTGATTAGGGAGTCCTGATATGCCTCTCTTTGAGCAAGTATGTGAAGTTCTCTGCTGGTGACACAATGAAAAGCATTTGAAAACTGTGAAAGAATTTTGCATAGAACTACTAGCCTGGTAATTTTGAGTGACAGTCATCAGTCAAGACATTCTCCTGAATAAACCAGTAATACTTGTTTTGCGTTTGCTAAGAACCTTGAAGAATTAAGCTTTATTAAATGGTTTGTTATTCAAGGAGCAGAATCATAGACTCAGGGAATGATAGAATGGTTTGGGTTGGAAGGGACCTTGAAGATCATCTAGATCCAGCCCCCCTGCATGGACAGGGACACCTCCCACCAGACCAGGTTGCTCCAAGCCCCATCCAACCTGCCCTTCAACACTTCCAGGGATGGGGCAGCCACAGCTTCTCTGGGCAACCTGGGCCAGTGTCTCTCTACCCTCACAGTAGTTTCCTCCTAATGTCTAACCTAAATCTGCCCTCTTCCTGTTTCCCCTTGTTCTCTCACTACAAGCCCTTGTAAACTATAAAACTGCTCCTGCATGTGTTCTCCATGGGATGTGGCTCTTTCAGGACATACCCATCTGCTGGGTTCTTCTTGGCCTGCAGTTGTATCAGCTCTGATGTGGTCCTCCATGTGTTGTGGGAAGACACGTGCTTCACCATGATCTGCTCCACAGGCTGCAGGGGAATGTCTGCTCCTGTCCCTGGAGCACCTCCTCCCCATTCTGCTCCAGCTTTGGGGTTGTAGGATTGTTTCTCACACTTTCTTTACCTCACTTCTCATGCTGTCTGGCAGATTTTTTTCCTTTCTTACCTGTGGTTTCTCAGAGGTGTCACCATTATTGCTCACCTGTGTCCTGTGGTGGATCCTTGCTGCATCCACCATGGGACAGGCCCCTGGCCTCTTCTCACAGATCCCACCTGACACCCCCACCAAAACCTTGCCACATATATCCCAGACAACATAAATACAGCATAATGGGGTATCTATTCTTAAGGGGCACAGGAGAGAATTTTTTAAAAAAATATTATTATTTAAGCACTCAGTGGATGTGGCATTGGTGCACCTGGGAGTTCTTGGGAATAGAGTAACAAGAGCAGATTGTAGAGAAACATTTATTATGTAATAGGAACAGCATATATGCTAATATATAAATAAATTATGTGCAATATTTGGATATTGCACTATTAATTTTCATGGATGTTATCTAATTTTGTCTGTTGCAGGGAGTATGACTTCTGCAACGTCACCCATCATTTTGAAATGGGACCCCAAAAGTTTGGAAATCAGGACTCTCACAGTGGAGAGGCTATTGGAGCCACTCGTTACCCAGGCAAGTATCTTGAATTTGTTTTGCTTCTTTCTTTATCATGCTATATTTGCTTTGTGTACCTTATTATATTAATAATCTTTGATAATAAGAACTTGAACAGTTTTTGTTTGTGATCTCTGGTGGAAAGCTCTGTTCAAACATGTTTGAAGTTCTTGTTCTAAATAATGAATAGGCTCAAAGTATGAGCAGAAATGAATAGCAACAACTATTTACTTTGTTTGTCTTTTAAAAGCAGCTGAGAAATTTATTAAACGGTTAATTTAAGACAAATATCTGATGTGAATGCATACTCTTGATTTGTTATTATACCATGGAAGACGTTAAAAACAAACACAACCAACCAAATCAAAGGAACTATTAAAACAGGGACAGCAGCTTCTGTGGTCCAGAGAAGTGTGAGAGTAGACATCAAACTTCTGTCAGTGTGGGTGCAATTTGCTGAGTCCATGGCCTGGTGCCTTTCTATTCCTGAGTTGCCATTAATATTGGGAAGCTGGTAACCTATTGTCGCGATCTGTGACCTATTATATCTCCTTTTTGGAGTGTATTTAGCTTGTCAGGGTCTGCTGAGAGGTCCGCACGTGGCGATCGCCTCTCACAGAGGAGCAGTGGCTTCAGAACTGAATTTTCGAGTGAGTGACTTGCTCAGTGCTTACTAATATTTCCAATAACAGCAGCCAATCCCCAATTAGAATTTACGAATGCATGGTTTATTGTGGGGAAAACAAAGCAATTTGGGGCAGGAAGTTCAAAAAGGGTGATTAAAGCACATGAAATATCTTCTAAGCATCAAATAACAAGAACTTGTGTCTCAATACTTATATATGGGTACACCTTAGTTACACACCTGATTTACTTATTAATGAGGGATGGAGCCAATCAGATGAGACCTTGTCCCATCCCTGCTTCCGGCCACGGACCCTCCCCCGCAGCAGCTCCCCCCCCTCCCCCCCCCTCCCCGAGAGGGTTCAGCGCCAGGTGGAGCCGCTGTCTTTAAGTCAGGTATGACTGCTGACCTAAAGGGCATTTCATGTTTGTGTGAGGAAATACCTGGTCCTTCACACCTATTTTTTTCTAGTAAGCTTCAAGATAGGTAGCTCCATTATTTAAAATACACAGAAGTAATTTTTCTTCTAGGAATGCTCATTATGTTAAAAACTAATGCCAGCTGACCCCACCTCTCCATCCAACCTGGTACTAGCCATTTTTTCATGGACATTGTGGATCTTGAGGTTGGTCTGCTGGAGAGAAGTGTAGGCCTTCTTTTGGTTGTGAGACCGAATGGGATGTTTCTGTTTTCAGAGTAAAACAGAGAAAAATATAAATAGCTACTTCTTTAATTCCCCAAAAAATGATGTCTCTGTATGGTTTCTATGCTCATTGCAGTGAGTCTCTTTCCAAAAAAATTAAATTGTTGTCTTTTTACAAGTTATTCTTGACATGAAAGTCTAACAGTGTAAACAGCTTTACAGACTGAAAGGCAAAGAGATATACGTTTCATTTCACATGTTGATAACATGTAATTAACTTCCATTATAAACCTTGATTTCTTTGCTGTTGATATTGAAGATGGGCTAAAATCCTGAATTCTTTTTCATACCAACTGGAAATAAGGTTACAAGTTCTCTGTTAATCTGATCCTGGTGTTGGCATAGGAAGTGAAGCTGCTCTGAACCATTGTCTGTTATGAAAAGAACAAATTACTGAGTCTTCTGTGAGTGAATTTCCTGTTTTCCTTTCACTGTTTTATTTTCCAACACCTCACTCAGAATGTATCAGCCAAGAGGTGAAATTACCTTTGTAGTTTTCTTGTTTCTATGGTTGCTTGGATTAACTTTTGGTTTAGCTAGATTTCTATTTGATAGCAAGCATCAGCAAATGTAAATTAAGAAATGACAAGTTGAACTACATCAATTTCTTCAGTGGAGGAAACTAAGGCTGCCCAAGTTCCTTACCTTTGTGTTTTGATGAGGAACAATGCATTTCTATTTTAGCAACAGCTCAGGACATCAAGGGAAAATAAAATGCAGGCAGGAGTGACTAGAAGAATGTTGGACTAGTGTTTTATTCACCACTTATGAACACTTCTGATTTCTTCATTTCATAGGTTTCTAGTTAGTATGGTCATGTAGAAAAACCTGTTTGAACATGTAATTTATTTTCTTGTGTAAGAGATATAAATAGCTTTACTTGTTTACTTTCAATCCAATAAAGTATGTTTGACTAAAGCATGTTTTTGTGAGCTGCATGAACATAATCATGAAAGCTTTGAGTGATGAGAAATGTGCTACCTTCAGATTGTGTTTATCTGTTGCATTTTTAGCTTAAGTCAAAGCAGCTTAAGGAAGCTGCTCTTTCTGTTTTTCCCTGATAAGTTAACAATCATCCCAGTTTAAAGACTTTTCTTTTGTTCTGCTTAAAATCACATACACAGTCTGGTCAAGTCAAGAATAGTATCTTCTTTACCTTTGTTTGGGCTCCAGACTGCAATCTGCCTGTGCAGGGACAACCTCCACAAGATACCATGTGCACATTCCACATGCATTTGGATCTCCTTAAAAAGTTTCAAAGCTCTTTCCTTCCTAAAGAGAACATATAACTTGAATATTCCTCTTGGCAAGTAAATAAATAGATAGATGTTTAATCCCTGTTCAGTTTGATCAGTGAAGTCCCCTGTAGATTTGTATGAACTGCTTAACACTGAAATCATAGTGGTGTGAAGTTCTTCCTTAAGTTATAAAAAGAGGTCACTGGATAGAAGAGAGAGATTCAATGGCTACAAAATGCAGCAGAACTGTTCAGGAGCAACCTGAGCTGACTTTGAATGCAGTCCTTCTTGGACCAGGAGTTTGGAATAGATGACATCTTGAGGTACTGCCAAAATCTCTCTGATCCTGTGATTTCTAGCACCACAAGGACAAATCTGCCTTTTAATTTGGCATTCACAGTTGAATATTTAGAATACCTTCTTGTTTTCCAAGCTGTGTATAACTTTGGAGACTCTTGAAAAACCAGAAATGCTTCTACATGTGTTTTTGGGCTCCAGAAATGCTAATCAAACATTTTTTGTCTGCTTATATGTGTGTGTGTGGGGGAATTGAGGTTCTGATCTCAGTCTATCTATAGGCACATGAGTGACAGATTTTCAAATGGTGGCAGATCCCCTGATTCCTAGTGCAGTTTTGGGGAGTAATACAGAAGTGTGGAGTGGATTTGAAAAGAACACCTCAGTAAGTCAGGAGAATAGTGCATTAAAACTGAATTTTAGACAACCTCATTAGTGTTCCAGATGAGAAAATATGGATAACGTATGAATTGATTTAGAAGAAATTATAAGACAAGAAGGTTGTCTGAGCTGGAGGCAAAAATAATATAAATCCATTAGCAGATCATGAGAACACATTAGAAATGACAGAATTGCATTTCTTCTAGGAAGCCCTGAACTAGCAAACTAATTAAAACTTACCTGGCTGTCAGAGATGGAAGAACATTGGAGCTCACTGGGTTACCTTATTTCCCAGTGCTTGTTGTCATGTGTAAAGAGTAACAGATCTACCCTGCCCCGTGTTCTAGAGATTTAGTATCAAAAGTGTGATTGAAAAATGTATTAAAACTTCTGTTCTCAACAGTATTGAGTTTAATAATTGAAATGCCTTTCTTTTCTCTGGCTTCACTGTCACAGTTGGCTAAAAGTCAAAAGTAATTGTAATTATTGCTGGTTTCTGACAGTTTAAACCAGTTAATCTTTTTTACCTTAACTCTTAAATTTTTTAATTCTATGGAATTTTTATAGGGAAATGTATAACTAAAATCCCTCAAGGGGATAAGAGGATCCTCAAGGGGATCCCTCTTATTCTCACCTTCATACAGAGTAACCAAAATTAATTCCAATTCTGTTTGTCAGACTGTGTGTGGTTTTCATCAGAAAAAAAAGAATCTAGTTTTTAGGAAGGGTTTAGCTGCCATTACCTGATCTTCTATACACAGCTGTAATATAGTCCTGCTGGAGGTTACCCAGAAGAACTTGGGGGATAATTTGTGGCTTTCTGGTGGTTTTGCATAATGAAATACAACTATTAATAGAAATTATATATGTTCAGGAGAGAGAAAAAAAACCAACACAACAACAACCCTCAACAAAAAAATCCAACTATAAGCCAGCAATATTTATGCAGTTTGGAAAAATCACCAGACATACCCAACTGATGAAAAGATGAAGGACTTTTGTATAATTTTTGTGGCTAAGATTTGCTATTTTTATGAGATTTCAAATGACTAGTATGTTTTTGTCAGTAGCTTTCCCAGGTATTTTAAATAGCAACGTGGCTGTTTTACAAATTGCTTTTATTACCAGAGCCATGCAGCAGATGGGCTTTTTAGAATATTTAAATTGTTGGACTATTATGTATTTTAACAGAATTGTAACAATAACATAAGCAGTAGTGACTGTTTCTGTTGCAGATTTTCATGACTGATTATGTTTTCCTCAGTATGACACATTTTTGTCCTTCTGGAGGACCTGCTGTGAAGGGAGAAATGCCTGCATGTTTTGTTTTGTTTTTCCTAGGAAATTTAAGATGCCTGTTATAGTAGTTTACAATGAAGGCAGACAAAAATAATTGAATAATGATTTTGCTTTTTTTTTTTTTTATGTAGTATGTAGTAAAATTAAATAGCCTGTATCTAAAAAAAAAAAAAAAAAGTCACGAGATAAAATTCCAAATAGCTTTAATTATTGCCATATATTTAGAAAATCATAATGATGGCTGATGTGATACTCCACAATTTCTTCTCACAGAAGAAACCTTGTTGCTATGAGAAATACAAATACATTTCCAACCATGTCAGTTAATCAGATGTTATTTTTCAGTGAACCTTGTATTTCTGCATGGGCACCCTCAATCTGGTGTAGTAACTATTCTCCGCGGGAAAGATATTATTGAATATTATTGACAAGGAGCTGCATCTGAACCATTTATGCAAGTACACACATGGGTTTC